CAAGCTTATATGTAGTAGTCTACCTATCTATCCTTCCTATAAACCTCGCTATCTCCGACAGATCCCAGTCTATTGGATCTCCGATATGGAGGGAAAACGCTTTGCACGACTAGAAAAAGGTCGGAGAAGAATAAGTTTTATTCTTCCTACCACGCCTGAACGTCGCGCCGTGTCGCATCTTTTGACTTTTCTTGGTGTCGCTTTCTGTCCGTCGCGTACCCAGGGGATACCCCGAGATACCCCGAGATACCCCGAGATACTACTAGATACCCGGAATACCGTGACTGATAAAGTGATCCGTGCGACAAGAACAAGTTGAGGGTCTTGTGAAAGCGTATCGGGTTACCGCGGCTGTGAATCGCCGCGAGACGAGAGGGGAGAATATGTGGCGATAAACGGGGAAACTCCGGAACAAAGGGTTAAAGAGCATGGCAATGTTCCCGGACAGCTCTTGGTAGATGAGAAATGACCTCCAAGACAATGAGGCTTGAGAAAGGGGAAAATCTACGGACTTCTTGAATGTGGTACATTGATCGTATTTCAACTGAAAATACTAGGGTCTCAGAAGGGAAAGGGAGGGGGGGGGGGAGGGCGGAAGAGAGAGAGAGATTGAGAGAGAGAGGGAGAGAGAGAGAGATTGAGAGAGAGAGGGGGAGATTGAGAGAGGTGGGGTGGAGAGAAAGAGATGGGGGGTAGACAGACAAACAGACAGGCAGATAAAGAGAGAGAAAGAGAACGAGTATGTATGTAAAAGGGCGTGGGGGGACAAATAAGTAGTGAAGTAGGCAATATCAAGAACGCTTTTCTTAAGTCTGGGCTATTTGTTCCCTTTAAAAAACTGTTTTTTGTTTGTGATTGTTGCTCTCCTTACCGGACCTAATCACTTTCATAATGTTTGTCCAGTGTCTTCTTTGACTCGTTCTCTCGCTATGAAAAAAACAAAAAAACAACTGGAGTTTCGCAATACGTCCTTTGCAAATTACTCTCCTCCTCGCTGGCTGGCCTCATTAGGCGCTGCTGAGAAATCACTTTCGCCTCCTCGCTCCGTTCCCGGGGTGGCTTTAGACGTGGGTTCCCAGATTGATGAATGTCTCGCAACGTTTAGCGGGGTTTTGGATCAAACGGAACTTGTCTTCTCTCAGTGGGAAGCTATCTCGCAACTTTTTTTTATTTTTTCGATATGCTGGAGCACTTTCGTCAAAGATTGGTTGGTGGGTGGGGTTGGATTTTGTTCATAGCAGTTTTTCGGGGCAACGGTGGTGTAGATTATCTGGGCCCACTTGAAGAGAGTTTCAGAGATCCCCTGAAGACAAGCGCTAATGGGGCTGACCTTTTGACGAGTAGCCCATGGTCGCATCGTGGAGACGGAGGTCTCGTGCGTCTGTCTCGTTGTCTTGAAGGGGAGAGAGAGGGAGAGAGAGAGAGAGAGAGAGAGAGAGAGAGAGAGAGAGAGAGAGAGAGAG